TGTGCGGGGTGGGTGGTTCCGGGGGCCCAAGGGCCCGGTGACCTTTGTCTATCGCGCCTCGGCCCCGCGCTTCGCCCGAGGTTTTCCGCCTGGGGAGTCCTCCTGATTTCTGGTTATCAGGGTTTTATCAGGTACCTTGGCTGGTGATTTGGATTGGCTTGGAGTGAAGGAACCTGGGTCTAGAGGGGTAAATGAGAAAGTTAGTCTGACCTGTGTGTCTGTGTGTGGCTCTCTATGTGTCTGTCTGTTACTGTGTTTCTGTGTGTGTCTGTGTGTTTGTGTTTGCCTTTGTGTGCCTGTGTCTGTGTTGCAGTGTCTGTGGGTCTCTGTGTCTGCCTGTGTCTCTCTGTGTCTCTCTGTGTCTGTCTCTCTGTGTCTCTGTGCCTCTGTGCCTCCATGTCTCTGTGTTTGTGTCTCTCAGTGCGTGCGCAGTCTGACTGTCTTTCTGTCTGCCTGCCTGTCTGTGTGTTTGTATGTCTGTGTGGTTGTCTCTGTGTTTCCATGTGTCTGTGTATTTGCGTACTTGTGTACATATTTGTGTGTGTGTGTGTGCGTTTTATTTGTGTGTGACTCTGTGAGCGTGTGTCTGTGTGTCTGTGTGTGTTTGCGATTGTGTCTTTTTTAGGTTACCCTTAGGCTGGTCTAAAGGAGAATCATACGGAAGTTCGCGATTTTGGGGGGAGGTTTCGTATTTTCCCGCATGCCCAATTCGCGCAGTGGCTAGCGGCCAGCGGCCCAGGCACCGGTTCGGCGGAATGTTCCGGGCTCTCAAAAAGTGGTCGGCGCTTGAAAGTGTTCATGTTTTTTCTAGGGTCTCTGGTAGCAACTGGGGGGTTGCATTCTGGGCTTGGAAGCAGGTCCTCGCACCTTTGCTGAACTTTGAGGCCCGGGAGTCATTCTTTAGGCTTCCGCTTGCTTCGTGTTGTTTGTTGCTGCTTTGAAGGGGGCATGGTTATGGCACCTTCATTTTTCCAGAGTTGCGACATGTCTTTTTCCGTACCTCCGGTGACCAAAGACTCGAAAAGGCTGGCGTCCAGAAGTAGTACGGGCTCTACCTCATAGAAAAATCAAACCTGTGATCCATTTTAGCAAGGTTCTACGAACCCTTTTGGGGTGAACCATATCGTTTCTCGGGTGTCCATTTGGACCAAGTTCGGTACTTGAAGGTTAGCCTGAGACAATCCCAACGAAATAAGCTCGTTCCTTTTGGCATGTTCTGTCACAGCTCCTCCCGTGGCTATATCATATATTGTTATCCTCGCTGTTGCAAAGAATCCACCCATGCCATTGGTTGTTTGTGCATGCCGTATCCGAACTTGGTGGTTCCCAGCAATCCGGTTCCTCAGGTTTTCAGCATTTTAGTGGAGATCTTCATTTGACCCAGCAAAAAGCTAAAGCTTCAGCAAACAAGGTGGGTAATGTGCCAAAATACGGGTCGGGGACCCAAAATAGAGGTTTCTCTTCTGAACTTCCTTCGGTACCCTGAAAAAGCAGTGTTCAAAAAATGGCCAGGTGAAGAGTTTTTTGTTTGTACCAACACGCATTGAAGTCCAACCTTTCCCCCCCCCCCCCCGCGGCCCCCACGAGTCCAACGTTCCAACCCCCCACTGTGGCGGAAGCAAACGGGCCCCGCCCGGAACCCAAAGGCTGCCCCTGCGGCGCGAGCTCCCGGTGGTTCCGCGCCACCCACCCGGAGATCACGCTGAACCCGAACCGCTGGGGGCGCCTGTGCGGGGAGCAGGAGGACTCGCCTCGCGAGAAGTTTGAACGCAAAGACCAAGGTGGACAGAAGCCTATGAGAAAATCTGGGGTAGACTTAGGATACATTTTGCATTTTACCAGTGACTCAAAGTGAAGCAAACACTAAAATATACATTCTATGACTGGGCATAACTCTAATCATGAAATTATTTTAAGTAGCCCTCTCTCAAGAATAAGCCCAGGTGGTATCTCCGGCAGCCCAGCAACCCCTGGAACCGAATCTGCGGGACCCTCCCTGAAAGCTGCCCCAAACCACCCCAGAGCCTATCCGGGCATAGACCCCATAGCTGTCAGCTGTTGGGGAAAAGCATTAGCCCAGGTAAAGCCTGTGTAGACCTTGACTTTCCTAACACGGTTTTGACGGGCAATGAACCACCTACTTTGGTTGAAAGTCTCTGACCGACTTTGGAACCACTTCAAGCGGCCGATATTGGGGTTTGGGCACTGCTCATTTGAAGGTAGTTTTGCGCGTGTTGGTTTCCCCAAACTGGCTGGTTTCATTTTTCCTTTGCCAACCAGCCCAAAAGCTGCCTTACCCGCCCCGCAAAAGAAACACCAAGAGAAAAGCAAAAAGGAAAGAAGGCAGCATTTATGTTCGTTCTTTGGGCCAATCTTTCCCTGGTTTTCCCAAGCGCCAGGGCGGGGGGCCCACCTTGGCAATTGTAGCCATGATGATTGGAATTCAGGAATTGGGAAATTGGAGAAAGGGGTCCGGTTCTTCATCGCTTTGCCAATCACAGCTTCTGTGTTTCTAGTCCTATGATTCCTGGTTCCTTAAAATCACGGTCAACTTGTTTGGTCTTGGAGAACAAATGCAACTTGATTTCTCGCATTCTGGATGTATGGGTTTAGGGTGGCGGATCAGGCTTTGGAACCTATTGTTATTCCTGAACCATTTGGTGCGATTTGGATGGCTTGAAGATCCAGAGTTCCTTTCCGGGACCTGCGCATTGTTTTGTGCCGGTTTTGCAATGGACGATGTACTGCCTCGTTTTTCAAAGGCTGTTCTGTTTGAGTAGGGACTCGCTCGACCTGGATGCCCCCTGCTAAGTGCTAGTACATGCTGGGTCCGCATTTGGGGTGGTTGTTGTCAGCCTTAAGGATTGTGACCACGAGCGCGATTTGGGAAAATGATATGCGCGGCCGGAAAAAGAATGGCAGGACATTGGATCACGGCTTACATGAAATGGTTTCAAGGCTGTTGAGGTTTATAATATTATGTACACATGTGTAGTGCAAAGCATTGGGCACATATAAGTAACTAACTATATGGTATGTTGACACACATGTGTATACCCAGGTGTATTTATACAAGCATCACAGACGTGTTTACATGTATAAGATATATATATATATATATATATATTCAGATATGCATTTTAATAAGTATATATAGAAACATATACTTGTACATACTGTATAGGCATCTCTTGATTTTGGCTGCTGGAGTCATTCAGAACCTCCCTGTCTCGTGCATCCTCGCAGGACCTCAAGGCTTGGCTTGCCAAGTATCTTGGCGTGCGCCTGCGAAGCTTGGCCGAAGGCGTAAAGACTTTTCAGATGTGATATGTTTGTTCGATTTGTTGTTGCGTGTATGTACGTATGTATATATATATACACATATATATATATATATACATATACATAAGTAAGTACGGAACCTCCTTCCCCGCCATGACTCAAAAACATCCATCAGGGTGTAGCTCATAGATTTATAGATGTATGCGTACATGAGCTTGTTTTGTGTTTTTTTTTTTGCTTTGTTTATGACAGGCTCCAGGAGGAGTCTGGCATTTCGGATTTCGTGTCTTTGTTCTGCTTGATGTCTCACGGATCCCGGCTCCCCAATTCCAGCTTTGAGGCCTTGGGTAAGCAGAGGGCCACCTATGGGATCAGGAAAGTCGCCTAAATCTCTCAATGACCCAGGATTCATAAGCCCGCCCCATTTTTTTGGGGGTGTTCTCTCCAAAAGTGGTCTGAATCCCCACTAAAAGGGGACGCCCCGCTGTTAATCAACCAGGGGTTTCTTAATCCGGGGTGAACATTAGGTGTCAAAATGGTCTTGGGCATGGCATCGGAATCAGAGAAGTTGGGGGGGTGGGGGGGTCCGCCTGCGCCCAGGCGTTTGCCTTCCGCTGGATTGGGATCACGTGTGGACGGAGGTCTTCGATGGCGAAGAGTGGCAGCCAGTGGATCCCAATTGCCGCTCGTTCGACGGGCACCGGCCTTTTTTGGTGCAGCTATCCGGGGAGGGGGGGGCAGATGGCAGGTGTCATTTTGGCTCTCTGTCTCTCTCTCTCTCTCTCTCTCTCTCTCTCTCTCTCTCTCTCTCTATATATATATATGTCAATATGTATTCTCCGTGTTTTTCACTTGTGCAATAGCTAGACCATACGTAAGCTCGATTTGACTCTTCCTAATGCATGCAATGTAATAAAGAAAATTCCCTTTTCGAAGTGAACCCATAAAAAGACATGGAAAGCCAAAAACAAAAATCCAGAGCAATTTAAAAAGCCAACACAATCTCTGGGGCAAATCGTTGGTTTCGGCCCTAAACGTTGCTAAGTGTTTCTCCTTGTTGTGCTCGCCCTGGCTGAGGCTTAACCCCGGTCCTGGCTGGTTGGTTCGTTAGTTGGCTGGTTGGCTGCATCCCCAGCATCCCCGGTGACTTGTTGTTAGGCATACGTATTGGCTGTGATTTGGTGGCAGCTGTGACTGTTGGCCGGCCGCATCCACGTCACCGGCATCGCTTGGACCTAGGGCTCTTTTTTGCTGTGTTTTTTTCAATTCAACCTCAAACAGCCCTTTTGCCAAGCCTAAATGAACCCCAAACGAACCCAAGACCCGCCTCCTTAAGATCAAAACTCAACCGCAACCAGCTCCAAGCAACTCCCGACTGCCACCGAATCAATTCCAACAGGCAGCCCCAGGCCCGAGCGAGCCGGAAACCAACCCCCCCAGCCCGACCAACCAGGCCAAAAAGCAAAACACCTCAAGCAGTTTTGCCGCAGCTTTTTTTCTTCTTGTCTTTGTTTCCGCAACAACACTCGCTGTTTTTGCTTTTGGAAGGCGAAACCAAAAAGGGTCCGCCCCCTCCGGCAGCTTCCTTTCTTGCTCCGCACGTGCGTCGCGAGCTTCTAAATCTGCTTCGTCCTTCAAATCTAAGCTTGGGCTCAAACCGTCAACATTTCGCACGCACTAAACGCGCGCGTTTTCAAGGTTGTTTTTTGCGGAACAATGCCAAGCAAAAAACTGAGGGAGAAAAACAAACAACCTCGACAAAAAAAAAAAACAAGCTTGGGGCGATTGAGTTTAGATAGAATCCGAGTATAGTATACTTTAAGAATGACGGGCTCTTGTTAGAAGCAGAGCAATTTTGAAAAATACAAGGGAGTTGATTTAGATTTGCAGATGGGACATCTGAGTTAGAATCTCTATGCAGAGGGATAAATTTGAAGACGGACTGATGTTCATTCTTGATAGTTGTTTGGCAAAACTTGATAGGTACAAATTCGGATCATGATTTCAGTTTCAATTTTGGTATGAGTTTCTTTTCGAAAAGGATTCCGATTAAAATGGATGATGATTTCAGTAGAATATGGAATGTTGATAGAAGTTCTATTTTCAAATCGAGTGGAGATGATTTAAGTTTGCAGATGGGACACGGAACAGGCAGGAATGATATGTGGGACATTGTTCAAGAACCACGTGCTTTTGATTTACAGATGGGACAGAACGCGAGCAATAATAATATGCAAAAGGTAGATCATTGGGGGGGGGGGTCTCAGCATGAATGTATACATATCTATATATATATATATACACTTTCATATACATATCTATACACATGCATAGTCATGAGCACCGTCGACTTGAGCATGTACGCGAGTATTCATGCATTTTCAATCATACATTTTATATATGTGCATTTCATCATTATCCGCCATGCCCATTTGAGCCACAATCAAAACCCGCGCAGATGAAGGTGAGTAAGGGCCAGTCCCAACCATTTCTGTGGCCGCCCTGTTCTTTCTTCACATGGAGGTGGGTAGACTTCGTTACTACTAGCTTTAGATTATGACTCATGTAGCTTTCTTAAACTTCTGGACCCAAACCAACACCGTATGTTTTCTTCGTTCGTTCGGAGGGCTATTAATGCAGAATAAAAGGGAAACATAGGGAAACCATCCATTTAATCCAAAGGAAAGGGAAACCATCCATTTAATCCAAAAGAAAAGGGACACCATCCAGTTAATCCAAAAGAAAAGGGAAACATAGGGAAACCATCCATGTAATCCAAAAGAAAAGGGACACCAGCCATTTAATCCAAAAGAAAAGGGAAGCATAGGAAACCATCCATTTAATCAAAAATAAAAGGGAAACATAGAAAAACCATCCATTTAATCCAAAATAAAAGTGAAGCCATCCATTTAATCCAAAAGAAAAGGGAAACCATCCATTGAATCCAAAAGAAAAGGGAAACCATCCATTTAATCCAACAGAAAAGGGAAACATAGGGACACCATCCATTTAATCCAAAAGAAAAGGGAAACCATCCATTTATTCCAACAGAAAAGGGAAACCATCCTTTTTGAGGGTCCAAATTCCTGTTTTGACACCTGGGCGTCCTTGCGGCCGGGCCGCAGCAGGCCGGAACTTTGCGCGGCGGCTGAACGAAAACATCGGCAGCTGGACGCGGGTTTTGGCGCTGGGCACGCCGGGCAGTGGGGATGTGGTGCAAGCCACTGAGGAGGCACATGAAGCTTCGCTGACGGGGAGGTAGCTCATGTTGACCCCATTCCAATTTGGGGTAGGTGAATTCACCACCCATTTTAGAACCTATTTCGGGTTGGGAGGCTTTTGGCCCATAACCAGGTAGTTTGTTTCCCGGATGAATCAACAGCTGTTTAATAATAGGGTGTCCCTGGTTTGAGTGGGGAAACATCACTTTTGGAGGGCAACACGCCCTCCAATTACTGAACTGGGGTTGATGAAACAAAAAACAAAACCTAAAGCCCTGGTTGATTTTGATTGGGGGGTGCACAACCCGAGGTCGGGTTTTTCATGACTTTAGAAAGCACCCTCCCTATCAATAGGACTTGTGGATTCATCTGGGGTCAACATTAGGTTCAACATGTGCAGGGTGGTTCGAAGTAGATGACAGAATTGATTTGCGTTTTTCGGGTAAGCGAAGGGGATGACTAAACCCAAAGGGAATTATGCCATCTCGGCCCAACTGTACAAGCTCGTTTCCCAACAACCAGGAACTTTGTGTCTGGGTCTTTTCGGGTGTTGCAAGTGGAACAAATGCCAAGCCCGCCGCTATAATCTACCTACGTCATGGGAGTCGTGGGAGAGTTCGTGACATCAGGTGAAAAACCACCCTCGAGCAATTTTTTTGGAGGACCCCCCTGATTAATGTTGACCCCTTATTAATTCAACCCCAGCTTATAAATAGTGGAGTGTTCCCCTCCAAAAGTGATTTGATCCCCCTAAACGCACGGACACCCCCCTATTACTAAACTGGGGTTTATTATGGGGTCAACTTTAGTCTGGATCCTTCCATGCCTGGGCTTTCTGCCCTCTTCCCAGCCAAGGAGGTCCTCCTCTTTGGTCCTTCTTGGCCCCTTCTGGTTCATTATGAGGCGCACCAGAAAGGAATGAGTGGTTGCTTCAGTTCCATTCACTTATCCTACTGTGGATGGACGAAATTCTGCACCACTTTGAAACCATGGGAAACCATTGTTTGTTGGTATTTACAAGGGAATGATCATTCCAGGGTTTCTTAGGTGGTGCAGGTTTTCGTCCATCCACAGTAGGAAACCCTAAGCAAACGGGCTCATGGAACGCAACGTGAGACGCATCCTGGCGCGTCTGCACTGTTTGTTTCCTCGTGTCGCGCATCTCGAAACCCATCCGTCTGTGGGATGATTTGCTCGTTGCAGACATGTCACCTGGGCTTCTTTCTGCAAATCGGCATTGAACCCAAAAAAGCAATCGCCCGCACCAAGAGTACTCTAAGTTGCAAGTTCCTCATGGTTCGCTTCTTCAGACGTGTGATTTGCCGCTTGCAGGACCAGGTATAGAAAAAAAACTTCCGTCATGCAGGTTGAACACGCGCGCTGACAGAGTGGTTAGCTTCTTAGGCAAGTTTGGCGGCCTGCCCATGCGAATGTGCGGCATTGGCATCCACCATGCAAGGCGCCGTCCGAAAGATGCCATCAAAAGTCTTGACTGCTATTGGGTTGGATCTTTAGACTTCAACCTTTTTGGGAAATCAAGGGGTTTTCCACTAAACCCCAAAAAAGTTCAGCTTTTTGCGGGGGGTCAACAGCAACCAAGAAGTGAGGAAGTTCAAGCACGTTCTGCCGCTTCAAGAGTGGCTACCCTGGTCGTTTTCCAGCAATCGGGCAGGTGACCGAAGCCTACCTCCGCCATGCTCAAGGCAGCGACGAGGAGGCTTGAATCGAGAGCACTGGCTCCCAGAGATCCTGCATGTGTGCCGGGGCGTTTTTTCTTTTGAATTTGCGCCTTGGGGCTCCGCTTCTTTTTATTTTGAATCCACGCCTCTGGGCTGGTGTTGTTTTTTCTTTTGCCTTGAAATCACGCCTGGGCGTCCTAGCGTCTTCGTTTTGACAGCACGCCTGGGCGTGATTTCAAAAAACCAAACACCGAAGCCCCCGGCGTGACTTCAAAAGAAACAACACCAGCCGAGAGGCGTGACTTTAAAAACCAAAGCGGAGCCCCAAGGCGTGAATTCAAAAACACAAACCGCTCGGCCCACAGGCATGAATGCAACAAACAAGCACCGGGACTCCCAGGCGTAATTTCAGAGTGCATGTGTCATGTATTTGCCAACACTTCTTGGATTGAACTGGAAGATCTTGTCAAGCATTTCCCCTTGAAGGCATGGCATGGGCAAAGGAGCCATGAGCCCTTCCTGGCGCTGTCTCTCTTTCGACATGCGCAAGAACGCACGAGGTTGATTCATCTAGGGTCCATCTTGCATGGAACCCGTAACAAATGTCCATCATTTCTTTGGATCAGAATCTCGTGTGGATATTGGTAGACTATGGATGGCACTGGCTCAGATAGTTTCATTTCCCATTTGGCAAATAAAGCCCACGAAAGATCCCAAAAGGAGCTGTCTCCAGAGCTTTTTCTATGCATTTTCCAGCAAAATCCCCCCCCCCCCCAAAAAAAAAAAAAAACAAGCCCTGTTTCTATCCATGTTTTTGTGAAATCCGAAAAGATCCAAAAAAGTCCCCTGCTCCAACAGCCCCCAGGGACAGGGGCCCCCCCAGCTTCGACTTAGCGAGGTGGCCGCCTGGCGGCGCCAGATCTGGGCCGCGCGGGAGGACGGCGGCGGCTCCAGCACGCAGAGCCGCACGAGGAACGGGCACCTTCTACGCCTCGCGGAACTGGAGGCGTGACGTGGCGAGTGTTGGTATTTTCAGCTTGGCACAAGGCAACGTTTGCATAGGTCACTTTGTGATTTGTTTGTTTGTTTCACTTTGGGAACCATAGGTGACTTGCTTCACTTTGTTTTTGTTTTTTTCAGCTTGTCCATAGGCGACTATTGTGTTTTTGGTTTTTTGTTTGTGAATGTTTTGTATTTTCTTAACTTAGCACAAGGAATAGCTTGTGTTTTCAGGCTTGTGATTTGTTTGGTTTCTTGCAAGTTAGCATCAACATTAGTTTCGATAGGACACTTTTGAATTCTGACTCGTCTTTGTTTCAACTAAAACAAGTTGGTTTGGATAGATGACGTGACTTTTGTAAGAATTCTGAATCATCTTTGTTTCAGCTAGATCAAATTGTTTTTTTGGGTGAACACTTCCGTTTTGGACTGTATTTTTGTTTGGGGTTGGACCAGTAGTGGCAATTAAACAGCTTGGAGTTGTTTGGGCCCATCCAGAAAATATGCGTTTTGCCTCCAATCATACTCATGTTCGAATGTTGTGGGAAGAGCCTCTCCTTTCTGCCCCTGCTCTTACAATTAACTGAATATCGCCTCAACTCTTCCGCGGCCGATGTCCGGCGCTCCCATAGATTGGGGGTAAGTATTGACCTCTGCTCCCTCATGAATAAACCGTGCCACTTGTGGGATTCTGGGTCCTCAAGCCATCCCAGCACAATGTTGAGACACGTGGTCATTTGGAAGGAAGGTTTTTTTTGCAGTCTCAGAAGCCCCATGTGAAGTGCATCAAGGATTTCAGACTTGGATGGGCACGGGGGTTGATATTCGCTTAGCAAGTTTAACACCCAGACCGAAGGTCATTAGCATCAAGATAGATAGACAAAGACCAGGCATGTGTATCGCCTACATCCTACAAACTTTGTGCCGCCACTAATGCCTGAACCAGTTGTAACTTATGACTGAACCACTTTGGGGTGCATCCTGCGACTCAAAACCTTAGTTGAGAAGAAAGAAGGCCGTGGAAGGGTTCCTGCCAATGGAACAGCAGCGTTTTCATCAGGAAGCTAAGGACAGGTCTCCCAATTGAGCAGCGCGCAACGCCTTTCTGGTTCAGTAGGATTATAATGACACGCTGCAGATGGGGGCACTGCTCAAGTTGGTCTAAGCAACCGGATGGTGGACCCGCTATTGAGGAAAGCTTGAATGTGGCAAGGGCAATTCTCAAACAGTTTCAGAAGAATTGCCTTTGTGTGTTGTTTTTAGGCAAATGGTAGTTATGTAGACAGTGCCAAAAAGAAAGTTAATGGATGTCAGGCTCAATGTGCAAGATGTGCTTTTTTGATGGCCGCGCCAGGACAGGGAAATCACGGAGATTCTACGCGACGCCCAGCGTGAATTTGATTCGGCATAAAATATCATGAGGCTGAATGAGGGTTTACATATTAATGAATTTCATGATTTATGAATTTGTTAAAGACTATTTTATAAATAAAAACATATAATTAATTATATTTAATATAATTTTAAAAATAAATCGAAACATATTTAATTTTATTATTTATTTATAATTAATTTATAATTGATATAATTTTGGGGAAATATATTTATATATATTTATATAAAATATATATATATATATATATTGAAATATATTTTTAAAAACTATGGCTTTTTAAAAATAAATGATTCTTTAATTTGGTTTTGTGATTTTTTAATTTATTGGGAATTAGGATTTTGATGAAATCTAGGTTGGGAATTTTATGTTTTGAATTGGGGGAGGTATGTTCTTTTTGCTACCAAAATGTGGATACTTTCGGATACTATGTTTTTTATTGATTGGGTTATGGATATAAACAAGCTACGCACACCATGTTGAAGAACGTTGTGTTTGTTTTAATCTTGCAGGCTGATATACGACCCTTGTTGGAGCTTGTGAATCTATTATCTACTGATTCCCGAATAAAACTTGCGGATGTTTTGGTGATGGGAACCCCGCAAATCCTGGCGCCGTTTTCCGCGGTTGGCTCTGGATATAGTGGTTATATCTCCTTTCCAATCTCGTATTTTGGGAATGCCGGCATAGGAAACACTGGCAGCAGCACGACAATATGCCGAACATAAACACACTTATGATGATTTGCGGAGTCGATGTGTGGCTCAAAACATTGGTTACGAGCCTTTGGTTTGGGAAAATATGGGTGGATTGGATGCCGAGGGAAACCGATTCCTTCGGTCCTTTGCTCGCATGGTGGATGAAAAACGTGCTCTATGTTTTGGAATTATATGGACCCAATTTAAAATCCGAATCTCATTTAAATTATATAGAAATTATCACTTGGCATATAAAAGGCATCGGGAGGCGGCGTTTGGCCGCATAAATAGGTGATTTTGGAGGTGCGCTCCAAAGATAATGAGCTGGTTTCTTTGACTTTGTCTACTGCTTTCGATGAGCATTTCGATCACTTCTAATGCATGGCGGTGTCCTTTTCGACTATTTCTCTTAATTTGTATTTAATGGAGTTATTCTTCCTTGAATTACGAGGAATTGATCTCTTTTGGATCGAGATTCTCGGCCTTTTTGTGTGTTTGGTTTGGGCCTCGTTTTCGGCGCGGGGTGATATAATCTCCGTGCCTAAAGTGGCGCTGGGTTGTGGGTGGGCGAGATTCTATCTCCCGATTCTGTTTTGTGGTTAATGTTTTCGAGCATCTCGATTTGAAGATTTGGGCTAAATTGCCTATTATATTATAGATTGCCAATCCTTTTGCGTTGGGCCAGGCCCCGATCACGAGGCAAAGGCTGAACCCCGCTCCCGCAATACATTAATTGCCCTATTTGATTGGCTCCGATTAGGCCTTATTTGACTGGTTCCGATTAGGATGGCTCCAACACAGCTTTTTGAGTGCTAAAATATATTAATTGAATTTTATCAAGGGTGTGAATCGAGGTTATTTATACTTGAAAAAAAATAAAAATAAAAAAACATATTTATATTAGTATTGTTTTTTTTTGCATAAATCCTATTCGTATATCGATACGATTCGATTTGCGCATTATCTCCTATCCATGAGTAAATATTATTCGGTTCGGGCTAAAGAAGAATCTGTTAAATAACCAATCCTAAGAATGTAAATCTTACTTAAATTAATTTATAATTAAATATAATTATAGATTGCCAAACTATTGGAATATATTATATTTAGATATAGAATGATGATAAGGTTAATTAGAATGAGTTTTTTATATTTCTTTAAAAATTAAAAAAAAAAGATGTATAAACTAGTTGATTATTTTATTATTATGATCTATATATATTTATTATGTTAAATTGGTATAATATATTTTTGTATATTATAGAATTATTATAATGATATTGATTTATTTATTTTTCTGGTCGATATATTATAGAAATGGGTTGAGGTGGTTAGATGCGGGTAGAGGGGGGTATAAATGGATGGAGCTGGGATGGGGAGATAGAGGGATAGATAGAGGAAAATAAAAATAGATAGAGGTAGGTAAACCAAATTAGATAAATAAGAAAGGTGAGATAGGTAAGATAGATAAGGTAGGCAAGGTAGATAAGGTAGGCAAGGTAGATAGGGTAATTAAGGTAGATAAAATAGGTAAGGTAGATAAAATAGATAAACAAAAATATAATATATAAAGAAAAGAATTAGATAGAAATATAATATCGAATAAACAAATAGAATTAAATTTATAATGGTAGATAGATGAAAAACAATAATAAATAATTATAATAATGTTTATATAAATAAACAATTAATTAAATAATTAAATAAAGATAGATAGAGATAATTAAAAATAGATAAACATAAATAAAAATAGATAAATAAAGATATATAAATAGACAAAAATAACAATACATAAACAAAAATAAATAGAATTAAACAAAAATAAACAAAAACAAATAAAAATAGATAAATAAAAATAGATAAGCAAAAATAAACAAAACTAGATAAAAATATATATAGATATAACATAGAATCTATTTATCTTTACCTATTTATTTGTATCTGTTTATTGCCTCTGCCTATTTATTTCTGCTTACTTATCTTTTTGACTCTCTCTATTTATTTTTATTTATTTTTGTTTTATTTATATAATAATTGGCTTTTAATTATATTATATATAATTATTAATAATAATATATTTTGAAACATAATAAAATTATAAATAATTTTATATATTTTAAATATTAATATATATATATGATAATTATATAATAAAAATATATTTTGGAAATATATTAGATTTTTTTTTAATTAATTTTATATATAAAATATAGTTTAATTATAATATTATATATATATATATTTAAAAAATACACATAATATAAATTATATAATTTTAAAATTAAATTAAAACAATAATACTAATTTAAAAATAAATATTACTAATAATTTATATATAAAGAATTATAATATAATAATATTTTATTAATCAAATTCTAATTATTTACTAATATTAAAATAATATATATTTTACAAATTCATAAAATAATATTCCAAATTTAAAATTTTATTTAATTTAATATTCTCGATTTATGTTTTTTGGAAATTATAATATATTTTAAAGATATATGTATAATATATTGTTTTAGATTTTCCTCGAAATATTCTAGATATTTCGGATATTCTAATTCTTCAATTTAAACCAAGCATAAATTTACCTTCTCATCCCAAACCCCGCCTCTAAACCCTTCTCACACAAACCCTAATTCCGCCCTAAACTAATTTTTAGCCAACCACAAATCCAATCCTAAATAATCAAGAAAAACATATCAAACAAAATATATAATCAATCCAAATCCAATAACCCAAATGTATATATATCATTTATCAATTTATATAAAATATATATATGTATAATTCTAACAATCCTTTCTACCCAATTCCAAATTTCACCTAACCCACCCTTATAAATATACCCTAAACCAACCCTAAATAAATCCTAAACCCACCATAAACCCATCCAAACCCAACCACCAACCCAAACCAAGACTTATAGATTTGTAACTGTTTATCCAATAATCAAGTCTATCTTCAAATTAAGTTTTTTTTTTTTTTTTTTTTTTTTTTTTTTTTTTAAATAATGCTTTGTATAATTGTTTGAACAATTTATACTAATATTTTACAAACAAACGCTTTAAGTAATATTTGTTTTGGTCTATCTTATATATCCACCTTAAACATATCTAAACACACCAAAACCATAAACCCACCCTTAACCAACCCAAGACCCCAAAAATACGCATTTCCGACTTACTTAATATTATTATTATTTTTTTAATTAATCAAAATACACTCAATAACAAGAACAACAAATCAAAACTAATTATTCGCTCAACGAAACATCTTTTTCACAATATCCATGCAATATCATGCAATCATCATGTTTCCATACAACGGCACAACATCCAAGCCAACAATATAAATTCAATAAACCACCAAAAAACCAAACCATGTTACACCAAACATTAGTTCAATTCAATACAAAACAGATTTATTCTAAGCAATAAACAAATACATTAAACATATGTATGCAATAATATATTTGTTTTATATGTCTAATATATTATTATGCACGTTATGAATTAAACATGATTAATAGTTTTTTGTAATTCAATTTATGTAAAAAAAACCGATCAACTAATAATTTCCAATATCACATTATCAAACATATATTTAATTAATCGATGCTTTAAACTCATACTCTCGGAGTCCCAGTGTGTTTCTGGTTCAGAAGGGCCTAGTTGTTTGTTTGATTTCCGTATGGGCCCGAGAGGAAGGTTTCCTCAAGGGCGTAGTTTTGCTTTGTTAGCGACCCCGATAAATCTTTTCCGGCCCCAGGTATACATTTTCAAAATGCTTCTTGTTCAACACAGCACCTAATCCCAGAAAACAACCACTTCTATAACAAGCCTTACAAGCAAGCATCCTCCAAAACAACCCGGAACTGAAGGGAAATCCTTCTACTGATGCAACACCGAGGAAGCCGCTACGGCCGCTATACATAAGCTCTTGCAATTGCACATTGGCAGCCGCGACTTTCACAGGAGTCAACAACTTCTCAAACAGGAGCTGTGGATCAAGTAGAAAGTGATCCAAGTAGACTGGTAGCAGTATTGCCGTTGTTCAACAATATTTTGCATACCGGATGGCATGCCAATTACATATTTCACATGATAACACAAAGCGGCAAAAGCAAAACCTAATTAGCGGCGGCTCCTACTTCTCCAACGAGCTCCTCCATGCGCTCGGTCCGTGAGGTGCAAGTGGCCAGGATTTCATCATTCGGTTGCCAGCCATGGGCACTGGGAGCTTGAATCCTGTAGCCATTCCTCTCCAATATCTCACTGACCATCTGATGTAAGGATGGACGATGCACACCGATGGCCCAATGCTTGACACGGCAATTCTTCAATAAGTCTTCGGCTCCTTGTAAAACACGGAATTCTGCACCTTCGACGTCCATCTTAATGAGAATGACTTGTAAGTCCGGGGAAACAAACCCTTTGAAGTACTCATCCAAAGATATTGTTGGTACCAGAACGTCTGGATAACCATCTGGCGTACGTCTTCTTCGTTGTTTCACCCGTCCACCACCATATCCAAAGGCAAAATATGTCATGCCTGCCTCACTGTCACTGGCCAAAGCCAACTCGTTCACACAGACTTGCTGGTTCAGAATGCTGCGGCGCTTTAAGTTGTCTCTGACGTTCAAGCGCATGAAGCTGGCGAAAATGGGATGTGGATTGAAGGCATGAACAACTCTACAACTATCACTCTGCAAAGCTCTTAGGGAGTAGTAGCCAAAAGCAGCACCAAGATCCAAGAACAACGGCCGCGTACAGCGTGGATCTGATTGCAAGACCTCTCGAATCCAGGGATCCATGCGTGGCTCCCAAATCCAGATCTCAAGCGTTCCTCAACAAACCAGCCCGTACGAGTCAAAGGCGGGGCCAAGCGAAAGGAAAGACCATCTGGGGTGATGACGGCGCGTTGCTCAGTGCTAACATTCGTCGCAGGGAAGGTCTTTGAGAGATTCCCAGCATCTCCAGGGCAAGATGCCCATGGCCGAGAAAGAGCAGGAAACCCCAAGGACACCAAAATCAACCAAGCATCTTTGCCTTGAGCCATAGCTGCGGATGAAGGTGTAAACTTGAACTCACACAAAGTTCCTATATGTCGCTCTTTCTATCCAAGGTTTGCGTTTAATCCTTCCCCACCAATACTAAACCAATTCTAAACCAGCAATTTGCCCGTCGACCCTAACTCCAGTTGAAATTGGGGGCACATTTAAAATCGATACTAAATCAACAGCAAACCAATGTTAAGCCAATTTTAAACCAACAGCACAAACCGAGCAACAAACATAGATTCCTGCTGCTGCTTCTCAAATTCCTTGATGTTTGGGCCCGGAAAGGCGCGGGGACCCACATTAGACGAGCAGCTCCCTCCTAAATGTACCCAATCCTAAGCAAAGATCTTTACACGTCCCCCCTCAGCCAGGTCCACACTATCGACAACCCTGGTGGGCACAGAGGAGGCAACGCGTTTTTTTTTGAAAGGTTCCTCGCACGACATGTGTTCAGAGTGAAATGCGGTTTTGAGAGCAGGGCCACGATGTAGGGGCGGCAGCAACTCTGCTTTTGAAGGAAGCTTTTGTAATTATCAATGAGGTTCTAAAACCATAGCCTTCGATACACCCATTTCGCACAACATCACAATTTGCCCAACACTGCGAGAGCTGGCACGCCGCTAACTTGGAACATCGAACGCGAACCCTTTGCGACTTTAACTGCGATACATTGCTCTCGCCATAATGCAGAAATCGGATGCTTTAAGGATTTTAGCTGTCTCTCACCCTCGCTATAATGGACACATCGAAAGTTCTTTCGCTGACTCCAGCTATCTTCAATCGTTATCGCCGCACCGCGGTGCAAGCATTGAACATTTCAAATTTGCAATCTCTGGCTAGGACACGGTGCGAATTTTGAGCATCAAAGATAAGCCTTCTACGGAAGTTGGTTCAATTGTTTTTGTTTTGGCACGGTGCTCATTTGGATTGCACGCATGTAACCCCGGACACACCTTGTGCACTTGTATAGGCATCCCCTCGAGAGATCCGGACAAGACCTTTGCAAGTCCTTCTACAGAGCTCCTTACAACTAGTTTCGCGGAGCTATATCCAATATTTAACTAGTTTATATGTTGATGGGAGGGGGGGGCGATTTAATTGGATGCACATAAAGAACTCCCCTCACAAAAATACCATATTCTGTAGCGATACAGTAGTAATTAGTTCGCATATATACTTACTTCAACAACCTCAATCTCCCCATCTCCTTTCTCTTAACCAATCGCTGCAAATGAAAAGGAGATGGTGAAGATTCTTGATCACCTAAACCTTGCCTTATCATTGAAGGTGCTTCCAGAGAGGCCAACTGGTTGGAAGGAGATCCCATTCACTCTCTTCTCTCGATAATCCTTGAACATGAAAGAAGAGAATGAGAGTTGGTCCAAATTCCAAGGCTTTATTATTGTCCCAGCCCTTGGTCTAATATAGGATTCTGGGACAACAAAGGCATGAACAGATGATGAAGGAAGGGATCAAACCATTCCACCCTCATTCTGGTCCCTCCTCATAAATTAGGTACTTCCGGAGATCGTTTAGCTGGCGGGAGGTGCTGAGGACTGTTCGGTGTTCAAGAAGCAAGAAGCTTGGGACAGCTCCTCGCTTTTGAGGTCCAGGATGCAGAAAACGCGGTATCGCCCCATTTTTCGACTACCACAAGCCAAAAGCGCAATACTACGTATCCCAAAAACTAGAGCACCCGATCATTTCGGAGCCTGGCAAATGAACAAGCCTAAAGACTCAAGATATGTGTTGGGACAGGCCACTTGAGGCCCAGGACATAAGCTATTTCAAGCCAAAAAGTGCAATCATACTTGTGATAACAAGAAAAAACACTAAAGAACCCCAATCGTTTCAGAGAGGTCCGCCGATCCGACTGGCAAACTGCACAGTGAAAAATCAAACCGGTGCTGCGCTGAGCCTGGAAAAGAAACAAATCAAGACTGAAATCACTGTCCTTTAGCGTCAGTGCAGCGCTTTTCTGATGATAGGCCAGTTGGCGCACGGGCCGCGCTGATTGCTACCAATGCAACCTCAAGAATCCAAAAGCTACGGCTGTACCTAATGCGTGTTGAGTCTTGCTCTGGGACGTGCAGGAATTTGTACTTAGCCCCTGCACATATGTCATATGATGCTTGCTTATAACTCAATACGCCGACTGGAAGAGATAAACAAATATGTACATAATATATATATACATACATACATACATATATACATATGCATATTTAGCTTCATGAAAGTCAATTCTGCTTGAGAAATCATCGCGCGCACTTGCAATTGGATGAATATACGGCGTTCAAGCTGTCTTACATCGAATTCATTCATATTGATAACTATTCATATTCATCAGATATTGATCCAAACTGATGAAACATGTGACCAACAGCAATTCAAATCACATCCATCAGCTATTGGCGACTTCTGATCATGGGTGGGCTTCAGTTGGAGCAGCTAACTTGACTTCGCACGTTTTTCCCCGCGCTCTCCCGGAAGGGCGAGACCCCTGGCGATGCGTTGGGCGAATACCCCAGGCGGTCCAAGGAAGTGCGGCGGAGCCCAGGAGACGGCCGCTCCGGCAGGTCACGAATGTGGTCCTGTCCGTCACAACCCTCGGATGGTGGCAAAAAACTTTGTTTTTTTTTGAGCTCCCTGCCAACAAAAAAATGAAAAACCACATCCTGCCAAGAACAGCAAAGTGTTCCTTCCCACATGACTCACAATCAAAACCTGGCCAACGGAAGTTTAGACGGAACTTCCGTGTTGCAGCACCTAATGGAAAGCTAGCTCTCTGAGACAAGTGACGTACCGTGACGTACTAAAATGGTCTAAAAAAGGCGGCGCAGGCGCCCATTTACGGTTGGGAATACTCCTTGATAAGCTGCATCTACCCGGGTTTTGATCGTGGCTCACATGGCTCCTGATCGCGCATAGTTGGGCCCAGTTGTGAACCTCTGGTCCGAGAATTGTTGTCTTTGGGCCCCTTCACTGTTGATCTGGGTGCACTGCAATCTGGCATAAGGACTAAAGATGGATGTTCGACCCAGGTAATTTGCAGTGTCCTTTGGGCTGAACCAAGGCATACATCCGTTGGGAGTCCCAGCCAGCCGTTGGCAGTCCAACCCCTCAGGTGGATCTCCTTGGGGCTCACCGGGCGCGTCCAGCGCACGGCCTGGCCCGGAACGTGGAGACGACTACGAAAGGCAGCAAGGCAGGTGTTGGGTGCTTGAAAGGGGATGTGTGTATTTATGGTTTCTGTTCCAGGCTGCTTCACATTGAGTTTCCTTTGAGCGGTTTCAAGCATTGAGCCAACACATTGAACACGAGCAGGACAACTGGACACAATCACAGGAAGGCCAAGGGTTCAAGGGCAAATTCTATCAATTCAGGAACTCAACATGAGGTGGAAGCCCTGTGGGCGAGGTCACACAACAAATCTCGTTGTGAGGCCGCCGTGGCTTGCCAAAACTCACTTTCAGCCACGAAGGATCAAGCTTTCTGGATGCCACTCCGGGATGAACCCGGAGGCAAATTGGATGAGGGTGCTGTGGGGCCCTGCTTCAGCCCAGGGTGCATGGCTTGGAAAAGGAGCCCATGCCACAATCAATCCAGAATATCCAACAAAGGCATGCCAAAGGCCCCGAATCAATAGGCCGTGCCTTGGCAGCAGCAGAAGATCGACGCACGGGCGTGTGCAGGATCGCCCTGTTGGGAGAAGTGGCCTTCGCCTTAGCCCGCTGAAAGAAGAAAAGAATGGTCACACACACACAGCCCGTCAAACGAACGAACCAAGCACGCACGCGAGCAAGCAATTCAACCAGTAAACCAAACAATCCTTCTTTTTGCTGGCCGTTCTCACTTGCAATGATCGGGGGCCTTGACAGGGAGAAACAAGCGGTGCTCAAAAGAAACCTTCTCCACGACGCTGAACCGGGTGGCTTGAGATGGGCTCGATGTGGCGTCCCGGCTGGGCGTGCATGGGGGCGAGGGGAGAGGAGAGTCTGTCTCTGGGACCTCGCAGGGCTCGGCAAAATTCACCAAGCTGGCGATGTCTTGTTTGATACCCGGAAAATGTGTTTGTTTCCCCCCTCCCCTCTTTTGCGCCTCCGTATAAACCACCCCAACAAGGGGTACCGGGGTACCCTAAAAAACACAAACATCCAAATGACAAGTCTCTTTTATGTGGGTAGGCACTGTGCAGGGGATGAGTTTGCATGCACCATCATGGGGACTTGTGCCATCTACTTTGACGCGACTGCTCAATATATATATATATATATATATAACTCGCACACACACACAGACACCAACACAAGGAACGTTCATCATGGGTGAGCTCAGTTCACCTTCGAATAAAACCAAGATGACATTTGCCCAATTTCATATTCCAAGGGGCCCTCTGGGAATTGATTTGGACTGGAAAACCGAGGGAACCTGTGTTGGAAGAACCGCCGGGTTTCGTTTTTATTTTTGGATTAGCGGGGGAGGGAACAACAAACTGGAATCCAGCAACTGGGAACCATTCAAGCTCAACCCTCACCGCATCTGAGCAAATTAATCTGAATTCCAGGTGGCTTCTTCAGAATTTGCCCTACTGTGATGGAAGTTGAAAGGTTGATGAGAGATGCCAGAGTGAAAGGGTTTGGGAAGGCTTGGGAGACCGTGTGGGGTGTATGTCACCTTTTTTGGGAGGCCCCTTTTGGTTGGTTTTAACCGCAAGCGAGGACACCAAAAAAAAACAGATCCAAAGAGGACACCCAACAGAAACCACAAAGTTGTGTTTCAACAAAAAACATTCAGTTTGGTTTTAAAGGACACCAAACAGAAGCCCCCCTTTTGGTTTTAACGGACACCATCCACCTTGGTTCTTCTTTGGAGCCAACCTCCGACAGCTTCGAAGCCGCCGCTTCGGCGTCCGCTTGCGGCTCGGAATCGAAGCGCTTCGGCCCGAGCCCGGAGGCGGCGAGGATGCTGGACACCACCCCGCGGTCCCAGGAGAGGTCCAGGCCTCCAGTTTTCGCTTTGCGGCCCAAAGGTCAAGGTCGTCTTTTTCAGGCCTCGGAAAAACACCACCTTTTTGGCTCACTTCCGGTTGGCCAAAAAGTGTCTCTTTTGAGGGTGCCCCTGTTTTTGGCGGGGTTAACATGGAAACCGAGAGGAAAGCACCAATCCATTTTGCGGGGCGAGTGAGTTCTAAAGACGCATCGAAAAGTCTGAGCTTCTTGTTTGCCGCCCAACATGGTCTTGCCAAAAGGTGAGCCCAAAGAGATTGCGGATGCTCTGCAACTTAAAGTGTCTTGCCAAAAGTCGGCGGAAGTGAGGGCGCCGCAAATCAACAGACTCGGCACTTCCCCTTGGGATTCCCAACTAAAAAGTGCAAAAGTGTCGACTCATGAAAGTTGCATGCAAAACCCAACCTGGGTTGAATATGGCAAGCGACTGTTTTTTTCATTCTGTGTTTCAGGTTCTTGACACTTCACGTCTCTGAAGCAAATCAAAGACATGTCAAAAGCCACTGATTCTTAACAACTGCTGAAATCCACGAGGAGCTTCCTTATATAATTCGACCTCACCGGTCCCCGCCTTGGAGCTCCTGCGCCACCTGGCGCCGCAGCGCCAGGTGCGCGCTGCGCGAAGCCCGCAGCGCCTTCCGCGAGGTCGTCCACGGCTCAAGGAGAGGCATGCGTTTGCGGATGTTTCTTTTGGGTGGGTTTTAAAAAGCAGGTCATTTGGGGAGTTTGTTCTTTTCTTTGATTGGAAGGCTTTAACGGGGCTCCTTGAGGTCATTTGAGGATTCCCTCTCCTTTGGTTGGAACCCCCTTTTCGGTTGGCAAGGGGAAACAAAAAAGGAAAACCACAATTTATGGGGGGGTCCCCTAAAAAAAGACAGACCGACAGTTTTCCTTTGGCCTCCCGTGTTGGGGCCCCTGTTTGAATGGTAAAGGAAACAACCACAATTTTGAGGGCTCCGATTGCCATTTTCAGTGTTGGTGGTTTTGAGCATTGCCTCTTTTTGCCCATTCAATTCCATTAAGGTGAGTCTCGCTTGGTAGGGGTGACGCTGCAGGGATTTCTGTTCAAACGACCCGGGCTTTATTTTGGTGGTTTATGGTGTTGTTTGCCCTGGTTTCTCACCAAAACTTCTAGTGGCAACTTGTGGCATGGGGGGTCCCAAGGTTCCCACCAAAAAATCGTAGTTAACCGGCACAAACCACAAAACAATGGGTCAATGGGTCAACTTAAACTCTAAACAAACCAAACCATCCGAAAGCCAGCACCACGGCCAAAACCACAATCACAGCAACCACCAACACCATTGCCCCAACACCAGGACCAAGCAACCACAGTGTCACAAGCACAATCAACACCAAAAGCAACCACAACCAACATCATAGCCAAAAGCAGAACCAACATCATCACCACAAACAAACATCTTTCACCAAACATAAAAGCACATCACCAAAAGCAGAATCCAAACTCAAAACAAAATACACGCACACACACACACAGAACTAAATAGCAAAAGGCAACCATGACCAAACAGCCCAAAGCAAAGCCACGCCTCCAAGCCCTGCTTCAGCTCCTCCTTTGCCTCTTTGAATTGCCGCACGCCTTCCGCGGCCTCCGTCTCACCTGGCAGCGTTGAGGTCGTGTGCTAAATAGGGACTCTCAAGATATGAGCAAAAGTCCCATGAAAAGGCCTTGGAAGGAAAATGAAGCCCAGCAGTTTGTTTGTTCCCCTATGAGCAAAAGTCAATGATTGTCTTGGCGATTGGACCGAGTTCGTTTTTAGGTGACATATCCACGGCACTGGTTTGCACCGTCAAAAAGGGGGAACCCACCCGATGGATATGAGACCATTTTGCAGGTTCCAGGCCTCACAAGAAACAATACCCTGAAGTGCCAGTCGAATGGAATCCCTGTTGAGGGAAACCCAAACCCTCAGCCCGAAGCTTCTTAGAACCTTCTTCATAACTCATAAACGGTCCCAATATCTCTCCTCTGGTCAGCGCTCAAGGCACCAGTTTCACAGAGTTATATACCGGTTTGTGGCAAAATGCACATCTTCCCCAAAGTGTTCGGGATCCAGCCAAATGGATCTAACAACTGAACATGTTCCATTTCCAAAGACTCGAAAGGGAACAACAAATACAATAAAGGACCCTTTCACTCGTTTTGCCCCAAGTGGAATCGCTCGCCATAAAACAGGCAGATTTAAGAAAAGGGGTCAGCACGTTTTCTTACCCTCCGACGCAATGTGCCCGTGACTCCCAAAAAACGCGCCCCTCCTCTCCACCCGGCCTGACGAAGCCTTGCTGGGGGACGCCTTGACGCGGGAGGCCCGCAAACTCGAGAGCTGCTCGGAGACTCGGTCGAAGGCCTGCTGCGCCCGCGCCAGGTGGGAGGGCAGGTCCTGAAGCGATGCCCAGGCTCAACGGAAGGCCCACCACCCCAGGGTAGTGTTTAGCCTTCATTGACTCATTCTCCGAGCTCAAGCCGCAAACTGGGGATGGTCTAGGGCCTGGTGATGACGACCCCTTGTTTTGTCAGCCATGGTTTAAGCCCCATCTGTTTACACAACCTCCTTTTGGAACAGGGCCTGCTGGTTGTTTCAACCAATGTTGCCCAAATGGAACGGGGGCAGGGCTCCAATGAAAGGCTGTCCCCCCAAGAAAGGGGCTTTTTTTTTGCCACCCAGCGTGGTTTAAAGGGAACCAACGTTTGGAGAGGTTCCATGGTTTTCCACTTTGGGTGCCCAAAAGCCAGAAGCCTCGTGGAAAACATGATCTTCGAGCTCCATGTGGGCGAGCGCAAGTACCTCCAAGAGGAATCCTCGCTACTTGGCTCCAAGCTGGGATGTTAAAATGGATTCCCTGGTAGGACGCCAATACAAACAAGGGGAACCACACAAATGCGTCTGGATTGGCTTTGAACAACCCAGCTGAAAGCACAACTCCTTGTCCTGTTCCGCACTGTTGGCGTTCGGGGATAGCATTGCGGCTGCGCGTCCCGGCTTTCCGCGCCGCGCGCTGGCGAGCCGCTGAGACACGAGAGTCAGCCAGTCAAATGCCGCCGTGTTAGCGGCAGGGAGTTCAATTGCTTCAAACAACTCAAACAACCACCTGTGTTAAGGAGGGTGTCCCATCCACCCTCCACAAAAGCCAGGGGTTCAAATCCAAATCCAAACCACCGATTCACCAACTAAGGGTTACCTGAACCATAAACCACAACAACATCATGTATCGTTGTTCGGTAAAAATGCACGCGCTAAGTTCTACGTCGGCAATCGATCAACGAAATCGTTGGCCCAATGCTCGCAGCCCCAAGATTACAATTCACAAGCAAGTCACCTCCCCTGCTGTTCTTGCTTGCTTGCTTGCTTGCTTTGCTCTCGCTTTATGTTTCTCTTCCTCTTTCCCGTCTCTCTCACTCTCTCTCACTCTCTCTCTCTCTCTCTCTCTCTCTCTCTCTGTCGATTTCTTTCACTTTACTTCGTCTGATCTCACCTCGCATCACTCGCTTTCCCCCTTTTGTCTCGCCAAGCGGGCGGTGTGTTGCGTGTCGTAGAGCCTCAGCAGTCGGATCGGCCCAACCGAGTGGCTGAGCATGGAATCTCAGGCGACCGCGAAACCAAGCCGTAGGCAGAGATGCAAATGCCTGGCTCGTGCCCCAGCAACTTGGCATACAGTCAGCCCCTTGGCCTTTTGGCTCATGTCGCCCCTTTAAGCACATCCTCAAGTAATCATCAGGGGGTTAAAAGGAATGGCACGAAGTCGTTTGGCCCCACAAATGGGGGGCAGGGCAAGTTTCGACAAAGCTTGTCTGCAGTCGGCCTAAGCAGATCGAGTCGGCTTGAACTGTTTTGGGTTCCTTTAGTTTCCTCATGGGCAAGTCGGCCAGGTGGCGTGATGTGTCCCAGGATGTGGGAACCCCCCCAAAAGAGGGAGAGCGCTTCTCCAAATCCGGGCACCCCTGCTTCGCTTTGGTGTCCCAAGAAGGTTTATCGATAAACCTCCCAAAAAGACTCCCAGCCTTCTAATGCACCAAATACGAAACCAAGAACATTGACATGAAACCAAGACTCCGAAGTAATACAACATACGAATAAAGAAGAATGAAGTAAAAGACTTCTCAAGAAGAAAGGGGAAGAGGCTATTCCAACCTCAGGCGGAAGATGGAGATGGCTACGGAATGGAATTTACATAAGATACTTGGCATGCGAACCACAGAAAACAAGACCAAGCGGGCGTTTGGGCTATCTTCCCCCTGCATTCGGCATGCTTATTTGTTAGCATCAATTACAAAGAAGAAATACATTAGCAAAACAAAACGCATGGGGGGTGGAAGATTCGTTGCCTCACACCAGCGGGTGACCTTTGCGATTTCTGGAGTTATCGTCATCCTAACTGTTCTTTTAATCACATCTATGTTATATGTTGTTTAAACCTGGCCGTGCGTCGCGAGCTCCGGTCCGAGGACCGGTGCTGGGACCGGCCGCAGGACCAGTCCCAGGACCGGTCCCAGGGCAGGACTGACCGGTCCCAGGACTGGTTTCAGGACCGGTCCTGGGACCGGTCCTGGGACCGTCCCGGCACCGGTCCCAGGACCGGTTTTGGCTGACTACAAGTAATCTGAAACAGCAGAACCAGGGTCCCGGGACCGGTCACGGGACCGGTCATAGAAATCCACTTTTCGTGCGTCGGGCGTGTCCCCCAGGGACTATCATTGATTCCAATCACTTCCATCCCACGCCGGTCCCCTCTGCAGGAGGCTGGGACTGGAGGCAGAGGGTCGGCGGATTTAAGTCAGCCAACCTAGCAACACACGTTGTTGTAGCGCCGTCGTGGGGTATGTCAAGAGTGTCCAACTGCAGCCGCCGTGTGCCAAGCTCATATTCGCGAAGACTCCCAAAGAGAGGCTGTGGGTGAGAGATGACGACTGAAGGGAAGTGGTGGCTCACCTTTTGTCTGTCTACGTCCTTTCCTAATCCATTCCTATCCAATATCATTCCATCTTTACCTGCCAACGCTTCTAAGCGAGAGAAATACATGGTCAAACGACTTGACAAGGAATTACGGTGGAACCATTTGCATCCTCGTTCCTCAATCCACTTTAACACCTGTCATCTATTAGCCTACTCTATCTCATTCAAAGCGGTCCTGAGACCAGTCCTGGGACTGGTCCCGGCCAGGACCGCTTTCAGGACTGAAGCCGGTCCCGGGATGGAGTCCGCTCCAGACGCTTTTCCGGACTGGCACCCGTGTTTCAGGACACTGCGCCAGACTGGGACCAGCCTGTCCCGGTCCCTGCCGGCGACCGGTCCAGGGCAACTTCGGGAGGGCCAGTTTCAGGGCGCTCCCGGGCCAACTCGAAGTGACTTGGGCGCAAGCCGGCCCAAGCGGTAATTAACGGACTAGCTGCCATATTTCTGACTTTTCCGTTAATCCTTGTTTGTGGTCGTAGAGGATCTTATAAGTGGTCCCTGGGTTTGCGGACGTGTTTCAGGACCGGTCCTTGTGACTTTTCCCTTAATGCGCCGAGGGTCGGCGGCAGCAGGCGGGAGCCTGGTTAATAAACTCGAATATTTGAACTCTGCAAGCAGCTTCATGGGGTTTGTGCTCACATTGGACGCACTGTTGCCTGTCTTGCTGCCAACCTGAGGTAACAACACCGTGGCATTCCAATCTTTAGTTTGCAACTGCCGGGGCCAACACTAACATCCAGAATATTCCAAGAGATAGGAATGAACGGACAAAGAGAGTGGGAGAGGGAAATGACAGATGTCACTCCATTCTTCTCCCTCACGCAACTTCCACCTAAGAATTACCTGCAAGAGCTGGGTGTGTGAGGCTATGTCCTTCCATCTCCAAGTTAGTTGCTCATGTGATGGAAGGAGGTGATGAGAGTTCACTCCCTCTCAACTCACCGTTCTCCCTTTGAATCTTTGAGTCTCTATCATTCGCATCTTGGACCTGTCGTAGATAGAGACGGTCAAATGAAAGGATGTGAGACAATGGGCGAAGAGATGTCATTCATCATCTCCTGTTCCTACCGTAGAATCCAGAATTGGATTAAGAAGGTACCGGTAGGAAGGAGTCGAAATAGGCCAGTGAATGGGTTGCTTAATCATCATTGGTCTTTCTCCATTTCCTCTCTTTACCCGTCCATGAACACAGATTATTAGGTGGTGAATGGACGGGAGAAAGAAGGTGACATAAAGATGAATGCGACCAATTGATTCCTTTCCTGTCTCTCCAGAAGCTCTTCTCATTTCTCGTTTCGTTTCGAGGTGATAGCCAAGATTCCACGGTCAAGAGCATACATGAGGTGAAAGAGTGAAAGAGGATGATCCCATCCCCTCTCTCGCTTCGTCTGGATTGTTGGTGTGACTTGAGGATGAGATATAGACCATGCTTCTTTATGGTTCTTTCACTTCCATAGTCACTTTGTCTCTATATACTTGTTTTGTCTTTTGTAGTCTGTTCCCATCATTTTGGTCACTTCTTCATTCACTAGTTACTGCGTGCGAACTCTCTTTTCCCATTAAAATGTTTTCCTTGCCATGTTGTGGGAATGCAGTGTATGAATGACGAGGAAGAGAGAATGAAATAAGCTATCAACGAATGCAGGAATACTAAAAGGAACAGAGTAAGAGAGAGAGGGCAAATCCTCTTCCTTCTCCATTCACTCCTCAACCTTTCTCAAATCAATGAATTACCAATAGAATTGAATAGTGGATTGGAGAGAAAGGGTCGCGCTCCCTCTCCAAAAGAAACCGATAGCAATAGACGGGAGCGTGGAGATGATGGAGGGAAAAGGAAAGGCCATCCACTCCGCCATCTCCCACTCACCTGTTTCCCAAACTCTCTGGTTCTGGGCTGTCCTCAGGTCCCCGGCCAAAAGTTTAACATGTTTTAGTGGGCTACATGGAAACCCCCACTCAACCCTAAAAGGCCAAAAACTAAGGAACCGGATGGCTGGGAGCCACCAAGGGTCTGGAATCCCACCCTTTTTCTCAGCCGCAAGAAGCGCGGCTTGAAGCGCCTTGCGGAGTGAACTCGTGGATCCTGCCCGGCAGGATCTTGCCGAGCCACCTCAAGAACCTCCGGGGAAGGGGGGGGAGCCTGGACTCATTGCACATCCCTGTTGGCTTCCTTTTCGGGAATGCTCAATTGGGCGATGTAACACTCAAACAGGGAAATCAAAGAGAAACCACCCATTTTGGGGTTTACCCATTTAGAGACAACCACACGCCAGAAGGCCAAGAGCGGGATCTCACAAGTCCGGCATGCGTGGTGGTGTGGCAGCACTTGACGCTTTTTTTTTGCTCGGAGCAAAAGCTTGCTTCCATCAAGGTTGCTCCAAGAAACTTGGTTGGAAGGAAACAAAAGGACACAAATGATTACACATGTGCGCCTTTCGTTTGGTCGACCCTTGTTTGTTGCGCTTGCTGTTTAGCCTTCTAAAAGAGAGGCTCGGAGCAACCCTGTTCATTGTCCTCAGTGGCCGGTGCACCAAGTTGAGAGGTTGCTTGGGCTGCGTCTCGTACTCCCGCGCTTCGACTGCCAAGGGCCACGATCCCGTCGCAACGCGTTGCCTCACTGCCTGCCGTGATAGCGTGTTGCTTTCAGAACGCAGAAGTTTCAAGGGATGTTGGCAATTGTTCCTTGACAATTGGTGAGGGTGGCCGACAATCCCCAATACTTGTTGCCATGCATCCCAATTATTTTGAGACGACGTGGCTGGGATACCAAAACCACGCAGCCGCTAGTTGCTGCCAGTTGCCTGGTCAAGTCCAGCAGCTGCAACGACCTGCGCGCCACGTCGGTGATCTGGTATTCTGCCCTTAGGAGCAAGGCTGTGACTGGCTGCTTTTGCGTGCAACACGGCGGCACAATAGCAACACGTCTCAAAGTTGGTTCAGAAGTGCAGCGGATGAGCCATCAATGGATCAAGGTGCAAGTGTCTGCTTGCCTCCTGCCGTATTTGGATTGCCTGGCCAAAGAAGGCTCCCTATACTCCCCCTTACACTAAACCTCCCCGCAATTGAAGAGGACTCACCTTTTAGCTGAAAAGGTCATGTTAACAAATACCAAAAGGGAAATATGCTCAGAAGCCCCGTGGCCACGGACAAACAACTGGTCTTAGTGGTGGATTTGAAAGTGACACCTCTCGACAACAAAATGACAAGAGGGCGCTCGGTGTCTGTAGGGAGCCCTGCCAAATGTGACAGTTGTGTGAAAGTAGACGGCACAATCCTCCATGTTTGGTTTTGTCATCCCCCTTCACTTACACTCACACTTACTCTGACTCTTTCTCTCTCTCTCTCACACACGCACACATGCGCACCACGCGCGCGGTCAGCTTCCCGCTAACTGGTGCTTTGGATTGGCGGGTTGGTTCAGGAGGGGTTCCATTCTGCAAAAGACAGGGGCTCAAATCCCAGCAACCCAAACCACCAACGAAGGGTCACCTCCCGAGCCATCCTGTCCGAGAAGCAAGAACTCCCTGGAGGTCACCGTGGGCACCGAGGAAACCGGTTCAACGCCTCTGGGCCGCACGAACACGAAGGCCTCCAGCCGGTGGGTCAAGGGGCAAGATCTGGCTCTGGTTGTTTCAGCCAACTTTGCAACAACACTAAAGACAAAAACAAAGCACACCCTGCAATGCTCAGGGTATGATCTTCTTGCAACTGCCACCTTCCTGCACAAACACAACGCAAGGCTTGAAAATATGCACAGTGCGGCAGCAAATCACACTTTCAGCATCCTGTCCTCGTGCTCTTTCTTATCTTCCGCAATCTGGTAGCGCCTGCGCTGGCAAATCGCGTCTGGGTTGGTCTGCAACGCCCCTGTGCATCAAAGGGATTCAAAACAGGAAGTAAACAATTAGAAACTGTGACCGTGGTTGATTCTCCTTTCGCTCCCGTTCAGCCTTAACCAAGTCGAAAAAGAACGACGCTCAAGAACAATACCAATACCAAGCTTGACTGTACCAAGATGGCAGTTTGCAGTGAACATGCAGAAGCAGGCTACGCTTTCGGTAGTGCTTCGGCAACACGTAGCCAACTGCGAAATATCACTCGTTTTGCAGGAGCCGCCAGTTACCCCGGAAAATTGGCGAGCTTGTCATCATTTGCCTACCTACTGTGGATGGACAACATCCTGCACCACTTGGAAACCACGGAAAACCATGTTCATTAGTATGTACAAGGGAACCGACTCATTTCAGGGTTTCTTAGGCTCGCTTCCTGAGTGGACTGGTCGGAAAAAGTCCAAACTTTCTGTTTGTCTTCCCCAAAACTTGAAGTCCGAAACGGAACTCAAGAAGTGCATAGGTGGTGCGGATTTGGCAAGGGCGCCTGAGCACTTCAGGCGCCGGCAACGACAGCCGCATGGACAGCACAAACCTAAGCGTTCGCAGAAAAGCTGCGGTATTTGTCCAGAAAACGGCTTGGATGGACCCATGTGGCCAAGGGAAACCAAACGGTCAGATCCCGATTCGCAAGTGAGCAAACAGCTCGGGGCCAACCGGGGCCAAACCATGGGCTTGCATAGCCGACACTACACCCCTGCCAAAAAACCGAATCAAGTCCCCTCCTAGGCTCATAAACCAGGGTCTTGAACCCTTCACTACGGCATACGACCCCCCTTGAATCACTTAGGGGGGTGAGAAAATCATGCCACGACCCATTGATAGTCACCTATTTTTGGATATGTCAACCTATGTTGCGATCTGCTTTGGACCTTAGATCCGAACCAAGCAGCTCGTATTTGTGGCCCTGCTCGGCTCCCGTGTCCATCAAGGCGAAAATGCTGCAAGAGGCCACCTCCTCCCAAGCCACCGCCATCTCCTCCAACAGCTCCTTCTGCGCAATCTGCCTGCCGACGTGGAACGAAAAAGGAACTTCTTACGGACATGGGGGGTCCTCTAGGGGTAACTTGCCCCCTTCTTGGCTTTCTATGCGCTTCCCTTGGGGGCCAACCTCAAGGCGAACCAATAAGCCCAGAAAAAAAAAAAAAAAAAAACAAATGATTGAAAACAACGACAGGAGAAACGAACGGGAATCATCCCTGTTTGGCCAGGTGAATTCAAACGGACATGTGCTCCCCCCCCCCCAAAAAAAAAAAAGAGAAAAGAAGAAAGAACAAGTAGAAACAGGACCCCGATGTGTTTGGATGGGTTTGAAAGGAACACACGCCAAAAGCAAGCACAACAACACCCAGATTCAGAGATTGTGGCTTGGTTTAAAAGGGGCGTACACAGAAGAAAGCATGGGGAATCGACGCCTAGATTTGGTGGGCGATGTTGGCCTGGATACCATGTAAAATCAACACCTAAAATTTGGGTGCTGTCCTTTCTCTCCATTTGGGTGAGTTTCCTTTCCAAAACCAAGCTACAAGAATATCGTGATTTGTCATTGTTGCTCTGTGTTACAAGGTTTCCCGCTAAAATCACCCCGAAAACAACGAACGGGGGAGTTGCCCCAACAACAAAAGGGAACCCTGGGGTTGACTATGCAAAACCCACCAAAAGTGGCAGAAAGGGGTGCCCACTCCCTTGATTTTGGAGGAGGACTCAGCCAAGCCACAGCAGGTCAGGAACATCCACATTCCCAGCCTCGGGGCGCGAATCTAAACACCGCATGTTCAGTCGCTTCAACCCTATTGGGGTGGGGGCCACCGGGGGACCGCTGGTTTTCGTCCTTGTCGCCATTTAGCAGGGTTCCATTTTGGTTGCCTATTCTTGACCCACACCCATTTGGTGATGGTTTCTTGTTTACCTTCTGCAAGAACCAGGGGTTCCAAAAGCATCTCACGCCTGGTGCGGTCCTTGGCCTGCCAAAAATGATCTGGCCATGCACATTGAAAACAAGAACAAGCCTCAACCTCAGAGAAATGTCAAGCATCAAATTTAGCCAATGGAAGATGGGAACATGTCATTCGACACCTTCATTTCCCAAGGGCTTCATTTCCCCGAAAGGAGATTCGGGGTTTGGGTCTACCTTGGGGTAGTCAAGGCGTTTTCCAGGGCAACGTGGCTGTCCTCGTGCCACCTTTTCCTATAAACAGGTTTGCCTCGCACATGGACTCAACGACACTTTCCAAGAGGGGCCTATACTGGCATCCTCAGAAATACTCAAATGACTTGTTTCAAGAGAACCCCCCCCTTCAAAAAAAACACACACACGTGTATTTCTGAGAACTCCTCAAAATGCAACCACCATGACCATGACAACCAAGTCAAATCTCAACCATGACATAGATGTCTATCGTTTGAATCCGGCTCAGAAATCGCAATCTTAACCGATTTTTGCCCCTGGAAATGAAACTTCAGTTGGGCGACCAGCGGAACCTCCTGGTGTCCCGCCCCCCAGTGAATATCTTGATTCTTTGGAGGAAGAGGGGGAAGGGTGAGGGGTGAATTCATCAGGAGTAGATTCCTCTCAGGAAATCCCTCAGAGAAACAGAGTTCTTTCAACGTCCCCCTTAAAACATGACCGAGGATCCAGTCAATTCAGCTATGCCCAGAAGATCCCAGAAGGCAATGCCTGATTAAATCACCTGAAGGCGGATGCCTTGAGCGCCCTTTGGCTTGGATAAATGGTTTGGTTTGCTCTTGCCGAGAGGCTCCCATCCTACAAACGCCCCTTCGACCCGCGTCGAGTCGCAGGCACGCAGTGGAAGTACCCGGGGAAGGCCCCCACGTGCCGCGAGCGCTGGCCAAACACCAAGAGCCCCTCGGTCGTCTCCGTGAGGGCCATGAGCCCGCCTCACTTTAAAGCCGCGTTTTTTCTGGGAGTTTGAAGCTTCCATTTGCTTCGGCCCCCTGCAGAAAATACAAGAAGTATGTCCAGTGGTGACAGATTGCCTTGAAAACCAACAGGGGGAAATTTGCTTCAGCCCCCTGCAGAAAAATAGCACATATGTCCAGTGGTGATAGATTGCCTTGAAAAACAACAGGGGAATATTTGCTTAAGCCCCCTGCACCAAAAACACACATATGTGTCCAGTGGTGTTAGGTTGCCTTGAACACTAAAAGGTGAAAAACAATTAGCAAATGGGCAAACAACACTTCGGGGGTGGGCAAAACAATCTGAGGGCAATGTTGGGGGTTGGCACCTCAGTTGATTGGCCAACAAAAACAATCTGTTGGTGTACAGGATTTCAAACGTCTGACCGGCCTGACCCCAGAAAGCATGCACTCCAAAAACTCAGGGGGTGACTTTTGCCCCACAACAAGCCAAAGGGCGTGGACAAGGGAACTTTCAAGAGGTGTCGCAGCCCTTCTCTGGATTTGGCGCCGTTGAGTTTCCAGGGAGCTTGCTTGGTTGTTCAAAAAGGGAAACTTGGGGGAGCCGTGGTTGGTTGGTGCTTCACAGAAAAGCAAACTTCAAAAGTTGTTTCGGAGGTGCCCACATTTGTTTCGACAACACTGTGCACCCCCCCCTCTCCCCCGACCCTACAGGTACAGCGCGGATCGTCCCAACCAAAACTTCTGATGCGTTAAACGGTGGCCCGAAGGACGATTTTCTGATGAGGGGGCATGTCTTTGCTGGCCCGTCGGGCAATCCAATCATTTTCTCACAGAATCAGACCTGATGGACTTTTTAAAGGCTCCCTCCCTAACTGACAATCTGATGCCAGTCTCGCAATTCTAAAAAGCAAGCAAGCCACAGGCAAATCTCCAGACAGCTTGCCTCCCAACAAAATATTGTGCTGTGGATGCTTGGCTCCTGCACACATCCCATCCCTCTACAAATCTCAGAATGCAAAAGGCAGGCTACTTAGCGACTGGGTTCGATTCCCGTGTGCCCCAAACAAGATGTTTTGTTTTTCAGCGGGAAAGAACATATTAATCCCCCAAAAGCCGGCAGCTTAAATGTCCCATCAAATAGCAAACAGAGGAAAGTGATAGCTGTACCCCGCTGGAGGGACTTATGACAGGGGTGAATGGATTACAAGCTACGCGCCAACCACTTGCTAAGTGATCCACCTCCCGAACGGTGATGGAAAAATCCGAGCCCCGTTGCAGCCTCTCCAGCGCCAACCAGCTGGTTGCGACGGGCCACTCACAAGTTCATTTTGCAGCCCCTGAACCCCGTGATCCAAGCACATGTTGTGCAGCTCGGAGTTGTATGTGAGCATGTGTGTGCGCTTGTTTTGGAGGGCACCCTGAACCAGGGTGGTTTGGAAAACTAAAAGGAAGACCACATTTGTAGGGGTTTCCCTCCAAAAAAAGGTAAGCCATCCATCACTGCTCTCCAGCCACTTTCTCCGAGCTGCAAGCGCCCGACCTTCGAGAAGCATCCATGGATTGACCGGCGGTGGTGAGGTGGGTGTAGAGCACGTACTTGAAGCTCGTCTCCTGACAAAGGTTCAAGGGAATCTCACATTCTGAGTGGACTGGCTGAAAAGTCTGAACTGTTTTGTTTACCACTCAATTTAAGTTTCTCAAAAGGAATGCAATTCAAAAACTGGAAAGATCAGCTGCTTAAGGTTCATCACACCCCTGCTTGGGCCCAAAACTAGGAAAGACAACAACTGGAGGTGTGTGTGTGTGGGTGTGTGTGCGTGCGTGTGTGCGTCGGCATGAAGCTTGTATTGCAAGCTTGCAGTACTACAGTGGTGATATTGTTAGATGTGGCTCTTGGAGGCATAA